TTTCCCTTGTTTCTGCTCTCTTTTATTAGAGAAGTTTTAAGATTGTCAGGTATTGCGAGTTCTTAAACTTCAAAATTCATCATCTGAAGCCAAAAGAATATTGCAGAAATATGTAGGAGTTTCTTGCTGACTGCCTTTTACATGATGTGTAATGTCTTGCTGTTTAATTCCATTTGTAAAATGAGGCCATAATGAGAGCTTCAGGGCATTCTTAAGCTTCCCTTGCATTAGTTTTTGTAACACATTCACTTGGTTTATTGATCTGAATTAATCTGTCATGTATAGTGCACTAGTTCATTTGTAGTTTCAAGTATTAGTGTAAGGAGAATGTTGAGGACTTTATCCTGATAAGTGATGTTAGATACTTCTATTATTTCATATTAATGAGAACTTGCTAATAAATGACGTTTATGCAGGGTGGGCTTGGTGGAATCAAAAATCCGAATTCTAGTTGGAAACCTGGAGAAGAATGAATTCATTACACTGGCTCATGTGAATCCACAGTCATTCCCAGCACCCAAGGAGAATCCTGACAAGTAAGCAAAACTTTTTTCATGTAATGGTGAGGAACTAACTTAGCTAAAATACCAATTAATTAATTAATAAACTAGCATTTTTATAGAATCTTAAATAGATTAATTTTTAATGACAGCATCTAAAAGCAAACAGTTTTAAGCTCTTCTCAAGTACTATTTGTAAAAGTAGATATTCTTTATTCTGTATAAGAATGTTTCTAAACCAGAAAATAACTTGTAAGGAAAGAATGTTTTTGCTAATAACTGTATTAATTGCACAATTTCTTGCCAATAATCCATGTTAGCTACTGCTACTTAGCTGCTGCTGCTTGAGCATCTAGCATCAGTTGGTAAGACAGTTTTAATTATGAGGCAGCACTGAGAACCAGGTAGAACATCAGGCACAGTAGAACAAAAATCTTGAGTAACTAAGTACATTTGATGTTACTAAATTTAGCAGTTGAGATGCATATCGTTTAAACTTGGTAATCGCTGATGTTAGAATTCCTTGGGATGTGGAAACAGTGGAGAGAATACCAAGCACTTCAAATTGTTTAGTATTATATATTTTTCAACTTCTTCCCCCCTCTGCTACCCCCTCCTCCCCCACTCAAAACAATGACTGCGGGTGTGTGGGCTAAAAACTCTTTTTAAGACTTTATTTTATTTCTAGACAGTGTTGTAATTAACTTGTAAAGGAATCATATTTTTGTGTGAAGTGTGAGAATGGGGAAGAAATTTTTGTCTTCACTGGGAATATGTGAAAAGCCTTGTTTACCTTCCACACAGCCTTTTCCAGATATCAACTGCTGCGAGTGACAGTATGGTGGTACTTTTTTTTTTTAAAGTTACATACATAAATTACATGCGTGTTCCGAGTGAAATTGGACAAAAGCGGGCAGTAGCTCTTCAGCACCATTTTAGTGGGTAAATACAGCTACAACTTACTTCAGAGGACTTGATGCAGGCAATGCTTTTAGGAAAGGTCATTTTCCCAATGTAAACAGTGTATGTTCTTTCACCTACCTGCCTAAATTTGTTCATTGATTGGAAAACCGTGTGCTTCTGAAATTGTCTTACAGGGAAAAGACATTTGAATTAAAACATTAATGTCTTGAGCTGCTATAGAAGTATTACACTATATTCTGTAATAGAATATAATGGTTCATCTTCCATGTATATTATGTGAAGGTGAGTTGTTAAAGGGAGGCTTTTCTTACCTGAAAACTGCACTTTGTGGTGGGTTACAGCTAAGAAATTCTAGAGTTGAAGACAAGTTTAGGTGGCAAAATGGAAGTTGTTTAGTAAGGGAATAGATTCTAACTACTTTCAGGGTCAGGTGCTGAAAATCTGTGATCTCCTTTCAAATCTTATTTCCTTTACAGTTGCGACAGCTAGTTTTAACTCCTAAAAATGAGAGAATCTATACAAAAGCACACTTGAATGACGTAATCTACTGATGATCTTAGTTCATTAAGTTTGCTGGAGACAGATGTGTCAGTGTTTCATGACTTTTTTTTTGTATTGCGAATGAAAAGGGAATGTCGTCAGCTTTGGGTTTTGCCCTTCTATGGCTAGCTAGGGGAGCTAAAATGTACAACTGTTGTCTATTGCAGCAGATAACTTACTGGATTATTCAGTTCTTCTGTCAGTATTATATGACTGTTTTCTGTAAAATTTTCCAGGGAAGAATACCGTACAATGTGGGTGATTGGGTTGGTGTTTAAGAAAACCGAAAACTCTGAAAATTTAAGTGTTGATCTTACCTACGACATTCAGTCTTTTACAGACACAGGTGAGTTTTGCTTTCTAGATGTTGTGGCGTTAATAAACTTGTTGAAATTATTTTCCTTGTTCGTAATGTAGTCTGTTTCAATAGTAGAATTATATCTAGACATAGAGTAGAAGGATTCAGCTAAGGAGTTAGGGTGTTATTTAATGAAATACAGTTTTAATGAGTTTTAGTGCTTCTAGACACTTCAGACTAATTGTTTTCAGTTTGTTTTCATTAAAACTGATTAAAACGATGCATACATCTTTCAGATCTCACTAAAAACGGTACATTGTATTGTGATCTTTATTAAACAGACAAATTGGTTATATGCAAACTACCTAGTGTAACCTCATTTTGACAATATGTGTATAGTTTAAATATTTTTATGACTTGGTGAAATTGAATTTATCACTGGATTAAAGCTGAGTATCTAGTAGACTCTAGAACAAAATGCCTTTTATTCCATGGCGTTTCATACTAGCTAGTTGGTTCAGTAACTTTTACTTTTATTTCCAACACTCGGTGCAAGAAACCTTTTTGACTTTTTCTGATGTTTACTTTTTGATTCACGAAAATAATTTAGAACACGCATAAGAAATTTGAAAGTAAAGAATTGGTAATAGTGAGTAAGAGTGTGACTCTCCAGAGTCTAAGACTAAGAAAGGAACAGTACCTTTGACAGGCTTATCTAATAAATTTGCAATATCTTTTTTTTAAACAAATGACAGTTAGGGCTCAAGTATTACATGTTTACAGAGTTAAAGGAATAGGCTCAAGTGCTACCTAATGCAACCCTGGTCTCTGGATTTCTGAGGCTCAGTAAGACTGGAAGCGAGGAGATTGTACACCTCCACTCCCCACCCCCATCCCGCTGTGGGTTTATGAGTGAATAGAATATAAATATACATATATATATCTTTAAGTAAATCATGCCAAGGTTTGAAGTTCTTTATTGTCATATATAGGTGCAGTGGGGGGTCTGTATGTGTGTGTGTATATATATATATTTTTATATCTGTCTAAAAATGTATATATATATGCATCTATCTCTGCCGTTTTCAGTTAAAGGGATTTTTATTTTCTTGAGAGGTGGAATATTCCTTTTAAGTGGTGAAGGTGAAACTATAGACACATCATCCTAATTCTTGAGAATTTAGAAAAGGCATAATAGCTTGGTTGCTGCTTTGAAGGAGTGAAGGAATCTATGAATGACAGTTTCTCAGGTCTTTTATTGTTATAAACAAATATTTCAATAGTGTACTTGTGAGATTTTTGGTATGAAAATACTAAAACGTGCACTTATGATTTTTGAATCTGATTTACTTGCACTACATTCAAATTTGAAATTTGTCTAAATGTATGCAATTTTAAATGAAGTAGCATTTCATCAAAATCATTGTAGACTGTGATACATAATTTTCTGTTCGGTTTGTAAATACATTTCCAAAGGTAACCAGCTAGCAAACAATTTCTGTTTGTGTATTGTGGGTTTCTTTGTCATCTCAAATTAATATGGGTCTCTCTTCATTGTTTCTAATCCATCCCAAAAACTTCTGTTTGCCCTGTCTTTTGAAATAGATCCTAAGATTTTATCAAAACTGCTGAAGCATTTTCAAGAATGAAATTAGGGAGTAGCTTGCTTTTTAGTGGGAGCAGGGGGAGGAAGAGAGCCATGAAGAGTGGGCTAGGTTTTCCTTGCATTGAAACTTTAGTAAGAAAAAAATGTCAGGAATATGGAATGCTTTAACCATGTCTGGCTTTCCTGAGCGTGCCCCTACCTTAACTGTAACTTGCGTAATCTTTACACAGAGGCTTTATGAGCTTCTTCAATACCAAGAATAAGTGTAGTAGGCTCTTTAATATGCAGTATTCATTGAGCTCTTTGTGTGTCTGTCTCTAAACAGCTTTTTTAATTACACGTTCACAGCCTATTCAATGAGATTCCTTAACGTTTGTAGAACAGCGAATAAGGGAGATACCTCTTAAGTTTTTTGTATTTAAGATCTACAAAACAATTTTTTTATTCTTACGTCTGCCACAGCTTTGTTCAACATTGTATAGAAAGTTGGCGTGAAAGAACAACAAATTTTTCATTTTTACCTGGCTTTACTTGAACCCGAGATGTTGGGTTGCAGTGTAGTTCCTTTACTAGCACTAACCATGTTGACTCACCAGAAGTAAATGTTCTGAGATGAAGGGAAACAGCTCATTATAGTAAACATAATTAAAAAAACAAACTTCAAAAAAACCCCCCCAAAACAACAATAAAAACAAAACAAAACAAAAACCACAAAGCAAACAATCAAAAAAACCCGAAAACACAGCAGAAAAAAACCAAACATTAATCACTTTTGTATAAAAACGTAGTGGTATCTGAGTTGCCAAAATGATTTGTAATATATTAGCTGGCACACAAGCATTCAAATCCTGAATTAGAACTCATTTGGTGCAGGAGCTGCATAAATAAAAGCTGAATCAACTGTGAAGAAAATAGTTTTATGTAAATAATGTAATTCTCATGAGGAAATCTTATTTCTATCTTTAGTCCCTTTGAGATGAAATGAAGAATTCACTTCAGACCTGTTACTGTTAAAACTTGTTAACAATATAGTTTAGAGAACTGCGTGCTTGCAGGATATTTTTCTTGGAAAACAGGTCACCTGTTTCCAATGTAACATTTTAGTGTTTGTAGTATTAGTGCTGGTATAGTAGGCAATTCATTTTCTTCCTCCAGCACAAGGAAATGCTATCCTTGTTCTTGAGGGTAATAAATGTTCTGAAATGCAAATTGTTTCTGCCTGGGCAAGTAAGTGGACTTTGCAAAATGCTTCAATATGTGTTAATGTTACTCTAATTGTGTAGTTTATAGGCAAGCAATAAACAGCAAGATGTTTGAGATGGATATGAAGATTGCTGCAAGGCATGTGAAACGTAAGCAACTTCACCAACTGCTACCTAATCACGTGCTTCAGAAAAAGAAAAAGGTAAACTTGACTAATATTTGAGAGGAATAAAAATGCCATTGAGAAGTGATTCCTCAGCTTTTTAGATTTACTAATCAAAGAACTAAAATCATATTTTGAAAGCTTAATTTTACCTGTATAAGCAATGTGATGTCATTTGACTGTAGCAGTATTACTAGAGGCACTAAATATAATACTAGATTTCCCAGAACATCAACAGCGTGGATAGTATCTTCAGGTCTGGCTGAAATATCGTATTTTGTTGGCCTTCCTAAACTAAACAGATTTGAAACAGTCTAATAATAAGGTATTAAAGCTCTCTTGCTATTTTAACATGCAGGTCACCTAAAGGAAGCATCTGTAATAATACCAGTAGAATCATAGAATCATAGAATCATTAAGGTTGGAAAAGACCTCTAAGATCATCAAGTCCAACCGTCAACCCAACACCACCATGCCCACTAAACCATGTCCCTAAGCGCCTCATCTACATGTCTTTTAAATACTTCCAGGGATGGTGACTCCACCACTTCCCTGGGCAGCCTGTTCCAAGGCCTGACCACTCTTTCAGTAAAGAAGTTTTTCCTAATGTCCAGTCTAAACCTCCCTTGGTGCAACTTGAGGCCATTTCCTCTTGTCCTATCGCTAGTTACTTGGGAGAAGAGACCGACCCCCACCTCGCTACAACCTCCTTTCAGGTAGTTGTAGAGCGCGATGAGGTCTCCCCTCAGCCTCCTCTTCTCCAGGCTAAACAGCCCCAGTTCCCTCAGCCGCTCCTCATCAGACTTGTGCTCCAGACCCTTCACCAGCTTCGTTGCCCTTCTCTGGACACGCTCCAGCACCTCAGTGTCCTTCTTGTAGTGAGGGGCCCAAAACTGAACACAGTGTTCGAGGTGCGGCCTCACCAGGGCCGAGTACAGGGGCACGATCACTTCCCTCCTCCTTATAGAACAATCAGTCAAGCAATTCTTGCTGTCTCCAGCTTTTTCCTCTTAAGTTGTTATTACTTAGATTTTCCTGTAAGTCGTCTAAATGTAAAATTGCAAGTCATCAAATAGAAGCAGAGTAGAACATTGAACTTGTTGCTGCCTTTTTGTATTTAAGACGGTAGTCTCTTGCTGTAACTGAGATTGAATACTTTGAGGATAATTTGAAGGAAAGTATTCCTCAACCTACAACTTGGCAGCTTTTGGTATTGTATGCTCTTTTAATTAAGAGTAAAAGATTTAAATGACAGTTTTGACATCAGAAAGTTGCCCGTTGCCTATCCAGGGTTACTTTCTCCCTCAATAGTTTACCTGTGTGGCCATACATGAGAATGGTAGCAAAATGTTTAATTAAGCTGTTATGTTGGATGTGATTTACTTTCACTGGAGGCAGGAAGAACGGGGTGGAACATTGAATTTAACTATTTAGTCTGTATTTCAGAATCCCTGGTTCTTTGTGTTAGCTTAATCTGAGAGCAATACAGGTTTGCTTGTTTTTGTGAATAGCTAAACCACTGTTATATACTCTGTTTTAGGTATATCTGAATAACATGCTTTATTGCTATAGCTGTTTTATATTAACTGCTTTTTTAAAGAACAGGAAGTCTTGTATTGAAAGCAAATGTAAATCTGTTTGAAATAAGTTTCAGAGGACAATGTAAATATTAAGTAATGCATCTCTTTAAGTAGTTCTATGTCAGAGGAGGGTTTTTGTTCTCCACTGACTCAAATCAGTCTCTAAATTCTTTGTATTAATTGTGGGTTTGGTGTACATCAGTATTACTTTGAAGTTAATGAAAGCAGTATCTACAAAAACAGAGAAACTTGAAATAAGGTTGAAAATATAATCACTAAATATAATAACAATTTATCTTATGTTTTTGAACGTCATTGGTTCAGACAAATCTGTACCTGAATTGTGAATGTGAAAATCTAAATGTTTGTAGTGACAGGATATTGGATTATTTACATGTAAAAGGATTTGAAAATTGTCCGCTATGTTTGCATTTTTAAATGCTCCTACTTTCAGGGTTTTTTTTTATTCTAAAAAAGGACTTAAATTTAACTGCATTTAAGGCACGCGTACATGCTTAGTTCATGGTGGAAGCTCATCACTGTTAAATCACCTCTCGGTTTTTTTGTTGTTGGGTTTTTTTTTTTCCCCCCACAAATATAACAGCTAACATTTTGCATAACTGAAATATTACATCATTTGAATCTTCGTTGATTTTCAAGCCCTTAATAAGACAAGTATAATTTTCTTCTGTCTTGTGGATTGCAGCATTCGACAGAAGGGATCAGGTTGACAGCTCTGAATGACAGCAGCCTAGACTTGTCTATGGACAGTGATAACAGCACGTCTGTGCCTTCACCTACTAGTGCTATGAAGACGAGTCCATTGAACAGTTCTGGAAGTTCTCAGGGGTAATGAAGACTTTCAGTCTTGTTGCTGCTCTCTGTTCCCGAGTTACTTGTGTTAAAAGCATAGCAAATATTGCATGTGTGAGATACTACAGTTACCAAGGTGTGAATGTTCCTAATTGGAGCTTGCAAACATTCTTATTTCCAGTTTGAGCACTAGAGCAGGGCTAAATTTAGGGGTTAGGGAGCATGGCATTGGACTTCAGATGAGGAATTATGAAGTTGGGTAAAGATGCTTAGAAGAACAAGGTGATACAGAAACTTGGGGGCACTGCAGTAGGAGGCTGTGAGCAGTAGTGAGCAGGAAATTGAGGTATGAGAGTGAGGAAGAGTTATGTGAGTTTTGGATCAAAATGTGAGCCAGAAGTTTAGGCATTCTGTCTGGGAAATGAGTAGTGCTACTGCTATTACTGATGATATCTATGCAAATTAAGCGTAGGAACATAATTTTCCATTGTATTTTCAAAGTGTACATATTAATGTTTATCTTAATCCTAACTTTCTGTATTAAGTCTTTTCCTATCTAAACTTCAATTTGCCCAAGTAAATGGGATTCTATTCTCTCTTCTTTCAAGAGTCTCATGTTTGTCTATTTGATACACAGAGAAGTTAAGATCAATCTGCTACATTTGTGCAGTATTAGATACATATTATAGGATGTTGTGTAGGATAAAATACTTAAGCTCACTAAACTTACTCCTTTTGACAAGTGCTCTTTTAGTTAGTCTTCCTTGCTAAATGATTTTCAATAGTTGATACCACTGGCCATGCTATTAAGACAAGTCTATGATATCTAGGATGTCCCACTTGAAGTAGAAATTGCCCTGTGTTGATTTTGGACACATACTGCTTCCCTATTTTTTGAAAATGCAAAATCAATTTTTTGTCCTGTGAAATCCCAGGCCTTTGCTTGGCAAGTCCAGACTGAAATTGTAGTCGTAATAGTGTGTAGATTGAAAACAAACTTTCTGTTCTAGTCCTTCTACACTGGTTTTGTTCCATCCTTCAGGAAAATAGTTGCTATGTTTTCCCCTGCACCTTATTTGGCAGACATTGCCTTAATTTTTGCCTTTTTTCAATGCAACTGCTTACTGGTCTAAAAAACTGTCTCTGAAGTGATTCAGATTAAATATTTGAAATAGCTTCCATTGCTCAAGTTTGATAGTAGATGGGCAATGCTCATTTCTGTCTTCCTACTGTGACATAGTATTATAAGTTCTGCTCTGTAATGTAGGTAAAATCCTATCAGCTGTGGTTACTGGCCATGCATATGATGTCATGAAAGGTGGATCATATAGCACCATAGTTTTACTAATGTTCAGCATTTTGTCATTTTTCTCTTTTTAGCAGAAGCAGTCCTGCGCCAGCTGTAACAGCAGCATCTGTGACCAACATACAGGCTTCTGAAGTCACTGTGCCACAAATAAATTCCAGTGAAAGCTCAGGGGGTAAGGAAAATGGCATAGTATATTGTTTCTATTGATTTTTTTGTAACCTTTATAAAGCAGGGTTTTTTCTAGTTTGAGGTCTTTACTTAACACATGCTGTAACATGTTCTCCTTGATACACAGATTTAACTAATTTCTTTAGAACTCAGGAAATCATGGCGGCATATTTTGTGCCGCAGTGTTTGTTTATTCTTCTATTCTTAAGGATTTATATTTGCCACTAACAATAGCAATAGTTTTCCGATGACCTGATGCGGGTCTGTAGTTCAGTTGGTCAAATGAAAAACTAACTAAAGCTGGAAGACCAATTTTTGTATTTATTTTTAATCCATTTTGTAGTTAAACCCAAGAGGTGGTTCTGTACTGTCTGTAATCTGTGCTCCCATGTTTCTGCTCCTCATGCTTCATGAAATTGATTCTAGGAATGAAAAAAACTCAGATGTAAGCAGAACACATGCTCCTTACTGATGTCTTTTCAAATACGACCCACTGTGTGTGCTGACTTGATCCTCCATATTTTCTACAAGAAAAAATACACTTCACTTAATACTTTAAAAAAAAATTGACTTTTTGTGAAAGAACAAAGACATCTAGTGAAAATGTTCACTTAGCAGAGTCAGCTACTCCTCTTTTTTTGATGGAACTTCAGCTGTATACAAGGAGCAAGTCAGAAATAGATGGAAAAGGGGACCAATTGGTTAGCCTTTCAAGATGAGATCTTTCTTACTTAACTCTGACATGTGAGACAGTGGAATCTTAACTGTTCTCTGATTTTTATCGTAAGTCACAGGTATATCAATATGAGTAAGTTTGTCCATGAGCACTAAATGGAGCTTAAATGGCATGACTGTTTTTTGGATTTGGAAGCATATCAGAAGTTGTTCATTCTTGTATTTTGATTAATCAAAAGCAGCCACCTGAGAGTTATTAATGAAAAATTTCCTCAGTGTAATTTTTCTCATCCTGGAGCATCTCTCTATGTGCGCTTACTGGTTTGAGGTAAGCAATTGGTGCGGTAGAGCCTTGTCATATGGAGCATTTTTCAGAAGGATGTATGGAATGTCAGGTCTTTATCTGATGCTCTGTGATGACTTCATATCTGTCATTGTGTACTCTGAGCCTGAGAAACAATAAACTTCATGTTTGAGTGACAAAGGGAGATCAGATTGCTCTTGGGTTTGATTTAAGGCAGTCTTTGGCAGTGCATATATATGGCCAAGTACAGAAACAGTAAAATTTCTTTGGGTATCAAGAATAATATAGCTGTGTTAGCACTGAGCTCTGTCTGGGCTAGTATACCCTGCTGTTAAGCAGGGTTAATTAGACCAAGCAGAGTGTCACTGACATGGCTACCCTGTATCTGGTACAGGAATTCTCTCTCAGAATGAGCTTGAAACTAAACTGTGCTGCATATGCACACCTGCTGCTCCAAACATGATGCTTATACCACTAACTGTACCACTTCCTTGATGCCTACTTGATACCAGTGGTTTTGAACAGGGACCAAAAATACCAGTGATTGAATTGAAATGGTTGTGTCAACTCATCTTGTTGAAGCTTTTAAAATTATTTGTCCATAGGTACTTCAAATGAAAGCATTCCTCAAACTGCCACACAACCAGCCATTTCTCCACCACCAAAGCCTACCATCTCTAGAATTGTTCCCTCAGCATATCTATTAAATCCATCACCAAGAACTTCAGGAAATGTTGCAACAAAAATGCCTAGCCCTGTCTCAGCAGTGAAAAGGACATCTTCTCCCCATAAAGAAGAGTCTCCCAAGAAAATGAAAATTGAAGAGGTATTTGACATTTTGAGATCATACCATAGCAATGTCCAAAACTTTGAATATTCATTTCAGCTGCAGAGTGCTGATTCTCATATTCCAGGTTTCAAATATTTTGTTTAAATGGGGTGTATATTTCCTACTCTGATTGCATTGCTGCTTTATGTGTTCAGCTTGCTTAGGTATTAGTGGTTTTTTTATTATGCTGATATTCATCACGTGACACATGTACTGCATTAGCACAAATGCTTAGATTCTAAATTCTTGTCTTAAAAGCAGTTTTTTTATTAAGAGTATAACGTGTTAAGTCTTACAACTAATTCTGTCTTCAAAAACACTTTACGACCTTACTTTCTTGTTGATCTTTTTTTAAATATGTTTTTATGATTTTTAATAGTTTCTGGGTTTGTTGGACGAAATAAGTGAAGATACTAGCTGTATAGATTTGAATGAGCATGAAAAAATGGAAACTAAGGTATCTATGCCTAGACCATACAATATTGTGCATATTAATTGGGACTCTTCCTTGTGAAAATTACTGTGTTTCCCTCTAGGAATGACTAAGAGTGTTTGTATAGATTATCCAGTGAAGATATCGAAATGATATGTTATTTTTCAAGGTATATGTCAATATTAATGAATTGGAGTACATTACCTGCTGCCAGGCTAAGCTGAGACTGAATCCATGGTCACATAGGACAGTGATTTCTTTGCTGGTCATTGACACAGTATTATGCATAGCAAAAAAAAATAGTGATGATGTTTATATTTAAATTTGTTAAATCAGATCAGGGATGTGTCTATATGCCTTGCTTTTCCTGCATCCCGAACTCGATGTATGTTACTTAGTTAAAGAACAGTTGTCCTATGTATTCCATTGGGATTTTTGCTTGTTGGGCTGACAGTCCCAAAGCCAGGTGCTACCTTGTTCACTTTTTACATAAAAAAATTTCAAATTACGGTAAACAAATCTTTTCTGATAGTGAAATTATTGTATGAAGTTACAGCATACCTTGTGGGGACTTCCAGAGATTCAAGAGCTCCAGTATCTTGTAATTTAGCAGACAATTTTTCTGCTTATTGGTGAACAGAAAGGGTGACGGTCTGTCTTTAGGCTTATGATAGCAGCTCTCCATTTGGGCGTATACAGTTTTTATAGGGCATGTTCTGTTGTCTTTGGAATACTGTGGAAAATACGCGGAGAAATTAAAATATCTATTAAAATGTTTAAGTGCTTTGGTTTATACTTTCCACACCCTTAAGTGAAGAATTGCATCTTGTTATGTAGTCACCTTGAAATCTCTTTGAACTCAGGACAGGTGAAGGCAGAAATGCATGTAAGCATTTAATCCTAACATTGAAAATAGATCCTCTGGATACAGATCGTTATAAAAGACCTAGGTAATCCTGTTAGCTTTTATTGTCAGTCTCCTCTGAATCTTCTGTCCTTAATATGCATGGAAGGAAATGGAGGAATGAACTTCTTTAGTTAACATAAACATAGGTTTTTCTCTATTGAAATGCATGCCTTTTTGTTAGGATATGGTTTACTAAATGGTACAATTTTAACTAACAGGCTGTTTTCATTAAAATGAGAATGTGCCACTGTCCAGCTTTAGCCATGCAGTCCCACTGTTTTACCTGAAAAACTGGCTCTGACATTCATCTGTTCATCCAGAAATCTGATTCAACCCATTAAAGTAGCAGGAAAACTTTTCTGGCAGAATGGTGATAGGAGTGGAAAAGCAGTTGAATTTGCAACAAATTCAGTAGCTTTTCACATGGTCTTCCTTGATACTACACTTTTTGTCTTTAATGAGTTGAATGACATGTAATGTTTTCCTATAGGATTCCGTATAAAAGGCATTAAGTGGTTAAATGAGTGACAACTGAGAAGTGATGTAGCTTGTGTTGATGTCAAATTCCTAATCAGCAAAACATTCTCTAGTGTGGTGATTTCTGTATTATAAAAGGATGGGTATCATTGCAGCAAGTACCGATACTTGCCTTTTTTCTTTTGCTGTATGTGCACAACGTAAGGCATTCTGGTTAATGGAGTTCTGTATAAATAGCTTTTATAATTGGAAGCGGTGTAACTGTGTTGATGCTTTTGGTTTTTTAGGAGCAACTTGAGACAGAAGTGAATGTTAATTCTCCAACAGAAACTCTTCAGACAACTTCTCTGCAAGCTCCTCAGGTACTGTTTTTAAAAACAACACCTCTGTGTGTGTGCACGCTAATGAAAACATTGAAATTTACATTAGTCCAGATGTCAAAAATAAACGTATAATTTTTAATATAAATCCATTGTATGGAAAGCTGCTTGTTGTTACTGTCAATTTTTGTGTTTTAGATGGTCATTGATCTTATTGAATGTGCATTGTAGCTAAACATGTATGGCTTGCCATACAAACTGACCGAAGCTGGATTCGCTCTTCTGAATTGTGCCTTCAAAGTAAGGGGCTCAGTTTATTCCTTTGTGCTTTGCACATCACAGAATAATCCTTTCTAACAAGGAAACAAATGCTTTAAGTAGCTGCTGCTCAAAGGTATCCTGGTAGAGGTCGAGAATGTCTGAAATGTAACTTCAGATTCTGATATTTGGTATGAGAGAGAGAGAAGTTGTAATCTTATAATTCATTAGCCAGCTGTGTTGCTTCACTGCAGGTATTGTAAGTGTAAGGAGCATTTGAAAAATAGACATTAAGTTAAGAATTCTGTGGCATTCACTTTAACTTTTGTTCCTAATATTGTAACAACTTTTAGAGAATACATCTTTGTCTTTACTAGCATTTTTAAGCTTCTCTTAGTGCTCTACTGATTAAAGTTTCACTGTCACAAAGCATTTTATGCACACTTTACTCATTAAATGATGTATAGTAAACGTATTGGTTGAAAATGGAGATATATTGCAATAGTATTAATGGTATTTGTTATCGGACTTTTTGAACTATATAAGCAGTTACTGAATAAAGGTACCAAAATTGTTTGGCAAAAACTCTAGATGTTACATGTGCACTCTACACTGCTTCAGGGAAATTTTTGGATCATTTAGTCCACCAAGTTTATTTCACCTACTGTTGAGGGATGATTACATAAAGCTTTGTAGCTCTTACAAATTGAGTAGCTGTTACTTCAGCAAAAGTAATCTGGAAGGTGCAAAAGAATGGTGGGCCTCTTCTGTCATTTTTCAGTGTTCTCTTTGGCTTTGTTTAAAACACTGCTCATGTTGCAGAAAATAGAAACACGTTAAATTGCAGGTCAGCACCAACCAGTGGGCTACTGGGGGCAGGGGGGAGGCGGGAGGTCAAAGCTATTTTGCCCTGAGTCCTTACTGCATTGTGCTTTGCTACCGTATCAGTCAGTGTTAACTTGGTTGATTCCTTTTTAGTAAAACAACAATTAAGAGCAGTCATTTTAGTGCAGTTTTTCCCATGTATCAAAAGTACCTTATATTAATTTTGAATGTTTATAACATAAGAATACATTTTCTGATAAATCATGGGAAGTAATGCATAATAACTGGGTTATTGTGATGTCAAATAATCTGCTGAAGTGGAAGAGAAATACTTCAACATTAAAAAAACAAACAAAACAAAACAAAAACAAAACAAACAAACAAAAAAACCAAACCACCAAACCAAAAAAACCATAGAGGCTTGTTAAGCATGTGAGAAGTTAATGAATCACACTGAATCTTGAGAGTGTCCTTTTGTGTGTGTTGCTGAATGGGATTTAAGTCTTCTAAGTGAGAAAAAAGTGTTCAGGTTATTTCCAAGGTGAAATGCTTAATGCAGTCATATAGCACTGTTTTAGAGTTCATCATATGTTTTCCAAGTAAATCTAAACCATTATAAAAAGTTGGAAATTTGGCTGTAAAGGGCTTTTAAACCGTCTGAAATACAAATGTGTGAAGACATATATTTGCATTGGGGACAGTTTTTCATCATTCATCTGTAAGGGGCTGAGGCTTAACACTGAATTGTTCAAAGGAATTTTAAAATACTAAACATGAAGTTTTAGATAGTAGATGTCACTGATCAAGCACCGTTATTATGTAGATATTATATTGTATTATAATACGGGTTATTAATAAGCTCAGCTTTATCTGCAGCACTTCCTAATTTTGCAGTTGTCAAAAAAGGAAATACCTACTATGAAAGAGACTCTTATACAAATTTTCCTTAATAATGACTGTGTAGGCAAAGGAAATATCTGCTTCTATATTTATAATTTGTAATTATCCTTATCTTGCTATATTCTTAAAAACTCTTCTAAAGATCTTGTTTTTGAAAGTTAGTGCCAGTTACTACAGTATTTTTCTTTTGATATTTACAAAGTTAAAATACAACCAAACTTCTTCTTTCTTTTCAGAAAACACCCAGTACAGACCTTTCAGATATCCCTGCTCTCCCTGCAAATCCTATTCCTGTTATCAAGAATTCAATAAAATTGAGATTGAACCGGTAAAAACAACCTCAGGGGTCCATAAACAGTATCTGCCAACTCAACCTGTTGTCTTCTAATGCTAGAAAAAAAGGAGAACGGAGGGTGCAAGACTAGAACATGATCGCAAATGGATTTAGGTATATTTTGTGCACTTCCCTTTCTGGGCTAAAATCACCACTTGATTGGAAGTCCAGGTTAGTATGTGAAGCCAGGAGTACAATTAATGTGTTAGCAACAGTTGCATTAAATATTTCGAAGGATTACTGCCTTTAAAAACATGAACACTATTTGTAGCCATATTTGACATTCTGATTGAATTTGTTTGATGCATTGTTTCAAAATTGAGATAAAACTGGCATAAGAATCCCTTAAATGCACTTTTATGTACTTTTTTTATTGGAGTATGACTAATTTTAGATCTTCAACTGATACACTTCTGTTTTATTGAAGAATCTCTTCAATAATAGTAATCTGCAAATTGGATGACGTTCTATGATACTATACATTGAAAAAAAATGTATAGTATATCTAGTTCAACTGCCATAGGGCAGCAGTAAGCCTTTAAAATGAAATGTCAAATCTTGAGGTTATAAGACATATGTTGAGGAAGTAATTGGGAAGTTTTGGTATTGGTGGGACATGATTAAGATGTGGTCTACTTTTATTTATAGGATTGTTTTAAGGTGCATACAGATCAGCAATCAAACAGCAAATAAACTTTCTTTTGAGCTAATCAAACTCCTTATTCCCTTTTTGATACTTCTATTTCTTGGGAAAAGCTTTTGCGTTTAATGTTGGGGTTTTTTTTTGCAGCTTGTATGCACCATATAGGACAATAGTTATTTATACAAAATAAAAACAAGCCAGACCTTCATTTGGGTTCCCCCTCGCCCCTTACCTAATCATAATACCACGTGGCCTGTAGGCACAAATTCAAAAATTTGTCCCATGACTAAAGTGTTTAAGTAAATATTGCGTGCCTGTGGAATACAACACCTGTCTTGATGGCCTTTGAATTACTAAATATAAGATGCATAAAAGTCCTGTATGCATTAAAAAGCTTCAAATTTTAAATATAGGCAAAAAGATTTTTCCCTGAGAATTTTAACCTTTTTATTTTTAGATGGCTCATCAGAAATAGTTTTACATACTGAACAACATTGAATTTTTAAAAATCATATTTCTAGTAAGCACTTGACATCTACTAAGCTCTCTTACTCCTATTTTTTTGTTCTTGTAGTCCTATCAAAAAAGATAAGTAACAACTTCTTCTTTTGAAAGAACTGAATCTCTCATGGCAAAGAACAGCAGTATTTGAGGAACATGAGGGATACCAACAGTAATACCAGATGTAGATAACAAATTTCATGTTAGTATTATTTAAGTCTGAAATATGTGGGATGTCAAATCATACTTCCCATACTTTGATTAGCATGTTTTATGAACTCCCTTCTCTCATTGTGCTCCATCCTATTACACGTGCATCTTTCATGTTAAAATTAAATTACTTACACTCTTCCCCTTATCCTTCTAAATTAATTCTCCAAAGTCAGAGTGTAGCTTATCTTTTACTTAGGCTGTGCAGTAACTGAAGGGGTTTTTTTGCCATTTGTCTAAGATGTCTAGTATACAATATTTCTCTTTTCCTTGCCCTGTACAGCCTGCTGTCGTCCACCCCCCCAAAGAAGGTTATATTAACAGTTGAAGTGTACAAGGTGTCTGTGTATTTTGTGTAGCTATGGAGTTTAGATCGAAATTGCCAGGCACAAATTTAGTCTTGTCATTTTGTTTACACATCAGAAAATCTTTTTCATTTTATTAAACGTTTCATGTAACTGCACCCAAGTTTTGCCAAGCTGGAAACTTGGAACCTTTCTGTATAGTGACTTTTTAATTCTAGTTTTCATAACCTGGAGATCAGACTGTTGCTTTCGCATGATGTACGTAGTGTCTCATGACTGGAGTTTGCTTTGTTTTATAGTATCTGTACTCCTTGTATTTTTCAAGAGCTATTTTGTAAACAGATGATGTATTTCTCCATTGAAAACACAATAAAAAACAGCACAATCCCATAGTTGTCTGATTTTTCGGAACATACAAAATTGATTTTACTCTCTTAATTCATGCTTAGCTCTTAAATTTTCTGCTGAGACAAAGAACACTATGGCCTAAAAGAAATAGTACTTGAATGTTCTTTAAATAAGCATGATGTTAGACATAGGAAGTGGATTCAGGATGTTGAGTTCTAGTCTGTTAAAGGCAAAGGTTGTGGATTGTGCAGTGGCTTGGGGGCACAGTTTATTAAAAAAACCAAACAAACCAAACCCAAACAAAAACAACCCACAAACCAAAGCCAGCATTTTAAGAGCATCCATTCCTTGTCTCCTGATTAGGAGTCCATCTCAAAATCTTAAATTCTTAAAAGCCGACAAAACTAGAAGAAATGTGTGCATAAACAATTTGGGGCTATATTATTTTCTTTAAAAGTTTGAACTCCACTTTTAAAAAACATTAGCTGTAACAGTTTTGGCATCTTACACTTGCTTTTCTTGCAAGTGACTATTTCTTATGTCAGCAGATGGCACTATTTCTCTTCTTGTCAAATAGTTTAAGCTTGCCCTGAAATAAAAGTAAAAATTACAAGTAGCTGTGCATCACTTGATTGATCTTTGTATCAGCATGAGCCCAATCCTCCAAATGCTTGATGTGAGTAACTTTAGTAAGTAGCCTCCTTTTGACTAAATTTTGACTAAAATTCCTTTAACTGCTAAAACCACTGATGATTATGGTCTTCATATTATAATTATCGTGCCTAAAACAATAAACCTTTGTGTTGTATATATTTTTCACAGCATGCAATTGCTTGTCTTGTTCAGAACAGATTCATCATCTTTATATCTTGCCCAGCCTGTCTCCCTTTCATCACAGCTGATGTTATTTATGGCTTTAATTCCTCTTTTATTTTCTCCAACCAATAAAAATCTGCTAGTAGATATACAAATTTCTGTTCAGTGTTTCTCAATCTGCTGGCAGTGGGCTTCAATAGACTTGTTTTTCTGAGTTACCTGTCATGAACCTCCAGAAGTAAGTTCACGGACTCATAAAGATCTGCAAACAAGAAGCTGAAAACTCCTGTTGCAGCCAAAATAATTAACATTAATAAGCCACGGTTCTAACAGATGGCTTTAGACATACTGATTTGAATCAGACATTTGAACTGATGAATTCCAGCAAAAGTTGTGCTTCCTTGCTGTAGGTAGTATGTGTGTATGCCATTTCTTAGTGCATTTCTTTCTTTTTTTTTTTTTTTTAAACTGCAAAATCTTTACACTTGTAGCTACAAGTATATAGTAACTGAGTAGTAATGAGTATCAATTGATAGTAAATGTACCTTAATGAGAAAACCAATTTTAATCAACAATAACAGTTAAAACTGAGTTCTTCAGCTTCTAGAATAACAAAAAATAATTCAGTATAGCAAGAACATGCTATATATTACTGAGCTAGAATCTATACTTAAATGGAAGAAAAACTACTGTGGTAGTTACTGAGGAAGCAGAGTATGTTTATTTTCTCATAATACATATTTTTTTGGAGGTTGTATGCATTTGTATAAAAGGCATTTTGCATGTTGAAGTGATCCTGGCATCCTTTATGTAACTTTATAAACATGCTAGTCAGGTCGTTTTGCTATGCTTAATCTCTCTTCGGCATCATTGTGGCTGAACAATACTTACCATAAAACTTTATCATTTAAAAATGTGCAAGTCTTGATAGTACACTCATGAATGTCTGTGTACACATACATTAGCTGAGTACTTGGTAGATTCACTTTTTTAAAGATTCAATGTTTGTATCGGAAAAAGATCAGTAATAAAGCATTTTTAATTTAATAATCATAGTAGAATTAAGGATCTATTCAATAGAAACAAAGCATCTTGGATTTGTTGATAGAGGCAGATGCAGTTTGATACGTCTACAAAGTTCAAACTAATAATTTGAAATATCTACAAACATCTGCCGCTATCATCACCAAAAGAATGCAAACTTTGATATCAAACTTCAGAGGGCATGTTTTATTATGAAAAAGATAATGCGATGAACCACTGCTGGATGTCCCATCTGCTTTTTGGATATTTAAACTCTAATGGTTTTTTAATAAAGTTTGGGCATATTTATATTGTTCTGACTAAATTCTATCTTTAGGTAACTTTTTTTTTCTTCCTCCCACACTTAATAAATTAACCAGATCACAGTTCCTATTCAGCATACCTGGTTTTTTTAATGACCTCAGTATTTTTATGACCTATGTATCCTAGTGGAATGTTTAAAATAAACTAAGAATGACAATGTCGTACACACTTTATTAAATTTTTACCTCATAGACTCTAAGATGCTGAATTTAGAAAAAGGCAAATTTAACAGCATATTAAGGGTTGGAAAAAAAACTGTTTAATGGTATATGCAGATATTATCAAGCTTGGTTTTTGCAGTAAGTTTCTGTCTTTAAATAAGAGCTAGAATCCAGGCAAGTAATAGGAAGGTATAAAGAGGAAAATTACTATTGATATAAGGTGATAAAAACTCCAACTTGTTGGGTAAGGACAGCTGCATTTATTTATTTAAGTTAAGAAAATAGCCAATGCATTTAAACTGCCCCATAATAACTGTGGCCCACACAGATACTGGGCAAGTGCAGGTTACAAGTGCAAATGTCTTTTTGTCTGTCTTATTTGCAAGCTAGCACATCTACTTCATAAATGCATTTTATGCTTGTATTTTTAGAAGTAAATTTCCTCAATAAGGCTACTTAAGTAAAAGTTTTACACACTTAAATTCTACACATCAGTTCAAACTTTTCAGTTCATCTAAGATTATTTCTGTGACGTTTCCTTCAGTTAGGGTAATATGCTAACCTAAAGCAGATAAAATTGTTGAAGTTGAATGGAGTGTACCCTTCATTGATCAGGCATTTCAAATGGCATTAGAATAAAGCGGGGTGGGGGGAGAAGTCCTTGACGTTTGAGGAATAACTTCCCCCCTCCCCGCCTCTCCCCAATTAGAAGTTTGATTCTAAGCAAATATAACAAACATGATACTTCTTAAAACAGCACATACGAATTGCGCTACAGCTTCTGCTTCAGCTTTACTGAAACCTTGCCCTGTATGGTGTCTGATGCTGTGTGCCTTCCAGAAATCTGGCATGCGCATTGTCCTTGTTTGCGTTCTCAGTCTGCAGTGGAGCTGTTAATAAAGAGATTGATGATAAAGTTGTCGAAAAGAGACAGTTGGACAGGACTGCTCGCCATGAGTGACAGAGGGCATGCTCTGCCTTCACAGCCAAGAACGTTGCCCCCAGCAGAGAGCTGGCCATGCCTGGACGCTGTGCCAAGCCTGTTCAGCGCGTGGGGAGAGGAGTCTGCAGCTTATATGAAGGATTTCTATTAGATTTTTAGCCTGTGTTCTTAAAGCGAGATTTCCTTTATTTAGGATCGTCACACATTTTTTTTAAAAACTTTATGGTCTCTTGAGAACAAATGCAGTTTCAGTGATGATATAAAGGCTAGTGTAGATAAGTTCTGAAATTTTTGTGAATGATCTGCTAGGACTTTTGAAATATTTCATTGTGGTCTGGTTCAATGAAGTGAAATAGAAATCCCTTGTTCTTAAAATTAACATTTTTGGGTTTTATGGGGAATAAATGCATTATTCATGTACGCAATCTAGATATTAGCTTCTGTAGGAATCTCCCTGCCAAGATGTTGTAAACTTGATTCAACTCGGTCACATGGTTAGAATAAGAGAAGCCCAGAATGATGGATGGAAGCATTCATTGTCTCAGCCACAGTTTATCATGTATAATT